TAAGACTTTCTTTTATACCTCTACAAGAGGAAAAAGAACTAATCACAATTTCAATGACTTTGAAGGAAAAAGCACACTGTAACATGATGGTAAGGTAAGGAAAACTTCTACCAAGTAGTCATATGGGTCTGTGGAAAAAGGACCATAATTGGCGTAATTTTTGCAGTTATTCGTGAGCAATGAACAAGGTAAGAGGTGAAGAGCAATAACTTTGGACCCTTGTAGGAATAATCTATGTGTATTTGAGGAGCTTAGTCAATGTTAATGATCCTGTTGCATGGGTAAGAAGAACTGCCCCAAACTGTGTCAGACACAGAGAAAGAGAGTGGAGAAATACAAGTGTGTTTTGAGAACATGCCTTGAGGCTGAATATACAAGCATTCCTTGTGGTCTTCAGATCACTTGTCTGCTAACATTTTTCACAAAATACTGCTGTGTCATTGACTCTTCACAACTTGATTTACTTTTCTTCATTGCAGGGACGAGCTTTAAGGACAGCCAAATCTCTTGATGAGGGACTTTCTCTTGTGATCCCTCTTGATAGCATCCACAGTGTGTCTCAGCAGAATGAAGGGAGACTGGTGCACTTAGCTGGCACTCTGAGTACATCTAAGGTAAATAAAATAATATCTTGAAGATATGAGTATTTCAAGCTTGGAGCGAAGGAAAAGTCTTTGCCAACTAAAATTATGTTTGATATCCAAGAGAAGACATGTAGCTTCTGTCTTCCTCCATAGGCATTGCTGGCTACTGCCCAAGCATTGATTCTTGGCCTGGAATCAAGGAGATGCTGTATAGCCTTGGTCTCCCTACTCCTAAGCAACACGCCACCTCTAGCTGTGTTTACCTTCCCACTGCCTTTGGTGGATAATTTCAATTCCCCTTTGTCTAGGGAACCTGTTATGTATTCATGATATTGTAAAGTCTTCAGGCTCTTGCAGTACAGGGGCTCTGCAAGTTCTGACTTTTCAGCAGTGACGACATTTTCCGTGGTCAGCCTACATTGCGGAAGGTAATGCAGCATGGTAGCTTCCAGCAAAATAAAATCTCCCCCCTGGTTTAAACACTTAAGCTTGCATACCATTAACCAGCATTTCTGGTTTTATTCTTCACTATGGCAATAATTTTTGATGATGATTCTGATAATTCTGATGATTTTTATGATGATGATGAAGGTCAGTGATATAAAGAGATGCTCCTTTTTGTCTTTCATAACATTTGTACTGTATTCAACTGTGTGTAACATAGTGCTAACCATGTACAGTGAGGTACGTAAATGGATTTGATAATAAAAGTACAGTGTTTTAGTTTGTGAGGTACAGCATTTATACTGACTTGTATTTTCTTTAATTTTTAAATAGCCTTTGTTTGATCCCAGCTATGGGCTCTCCATCCAGGCTGTCAAACTTAAGCGTAATGTGGAAATGTACCAGTGGGTAGAACATGAAGATTCCACGTAAGTGAAAGTAATCTTTAAAAGTTGTTTATAAAGCTATTGTATTAACAGGATCCCATCACAATTTTTTTTTCTCTCCCCACACCCAGAGAAGAAAAATCAATTTTTATGGCAGGAGAATTCTAGAGCTCTTGGGTTTTTTTAGAGAATCACTTTAATTTCCTTGGAGATGTCAGATCTTGTAGATGGTCAATGCTGCAGAATTTGCATCTGATAAAATTTGGGTAACATCAAAGCCCTTTTATCAAATGTTTCCACTTCCTGATTTTGTATAACTTTATATGGGGTTTCTTGGCCTGTGTGCTGCAGCTGTGAGTTTTTGTTATTGTTGTCTGATGCTGGGCCACCTCTGAGCCCATTGCTCTGTTTTCTGTCATATGTGTGGTCAACAGAATTCAAAGAACTTTACCAGTCTATGAAAAAGAGAAAACACTTGTATTTTTCCCAAAGACTCAGCTGATTTCTATCCTTTCTAGTGTTCCTAAAGTTTCTTTAATTTATTGATGTACTTTCTGCCCATCAGGATTTCTGTAACTCCACCCCCATTATACTCCCTGCCTGCTAGTTGATTAGCAGAATCAAAACCATTGTCTCAAAATACTTGATCCTGAATTTTTTTCAAATAAAACTTTTTAATCCTCTTTTTCCCTGCATCTGCTAAGCTTTTCCTGCTACCATTCTTTAAAACTTGAGCATGGACCCTCAAGTCAATTTTTTTCTGTGTCCTCAAAAAGGAGATACAAAGAGATTTTTTCTGAATCCAGAAACTTCATCGTATTTTCCTTTGGCTTTCTTCATTTCTTCCCCAATGACAGTGATTTACTTGTTGGGTTTTTTTGGTTGGTTGGTTTTGGTTTTGTTTTTTTTTAATCTCCCAAAGAGGTCTTCACTTTTGTTAGAAAAATAAGTGAACCCAACAATTTCAATTATTAATTCCAGAATAAAATCTGATAAACCCATTGATGCAAAAACTGCCTAGTTGGTACCTACAGCCTAACATACACTAGAATATTTCAAAGCAATTAAAAAACCCTATTGTATCCAGCTGAATCTAGAAGTCAGATTCTTTTCTCAGACTGGCGGACACTTGAGGCTTTTTGGCACATGACTACGAGGGAAATCTCTTAATTTCTTTGGTACTTCATATGTGTGCAAATTGAAGTACTTAATTAAACCAAGACATGATTTCTCAATTTTTAGAAGACTCTCCTACCTCTTATTCTTAATAATCAAAAGGCAACATTAATTTCTAGCTGTGAAAGTAAACTGCAAATTTTAGGTGCTTGAGAGACACTCAGTTTATAATAGACAATATCATAGTCTAGGTACCTTTTCAAGGGGATTTACAAAACTGTAATGAGATGTTACCTACTCTGCTAATAGTTGCAAGCCGAAGAGGGAAAACGTTTCTGTTAATAATAATTTCACTGACAGTACTATAAAAGCTATTAGCTATTATGTAGGTCTGACTTCACAGAACTCACATTCCAAATGTCTTTTGTATCACACACAAAAAAAAATAAAATCAGAGATTGTAAAGGTGTGAAAAATAACTTCTCAGTTTTAACATGCTTAATGTGCGGCGTCTGTAAAAGACTTGTTGATTTAGGTCAGTGATGTGCAGCATCTGTAAAAGACTTGTTGATTTAGGTCAGTTTGTCTCACTCTTTAATACTGGTTGTTCCAGTCAACACCTCCTTGTTGGCAACATGAGAATAAAAGGATTGTGGCTGTTAAGCGTTTGTGTGCAGTTTTCTCCTTTTACAGAGAATCTATGTCTTCAGAATAGGTAGTTCAGAGAAGAGTTAGTTTACTTGTAAAGATGAGTTTGTGTTGCCAGTGAGCTGTCTGTGCATTTCATTTGTAAAGTGTATTCTGCCCTGAGTAGCTGTGTGTGCACAGTGTTTTGGTTCTCATCCCACACCTTTTCTCTGCAGGGAATATGAAGAGAATGGTGAGATTAAGAAAGAGACAAAGTATTCATACAGTAAGTTGATCAACAGAAAGTCCCTTTTCTTTTAGGAATGTAACTTTGGACTTTTATGTGTGTGTATTTTGATTTTTGTTGTATTTTCTTGTTGGGAAAGAAAGGAAAGGAATGTGAAGAAATAAGCAAAAATTCTGTTTCCTAAAGGGATGAGAAGACCTCCCTTTCTTGAGGTAACTGAGGTGAAAGGAGGTACGCTGTTAGCAAGCAACTACTAAAGAAAATCTAAGTCTTGTCTTAGAACTCCTGGAGGTTCAAAGCAGCATCCAGGATAGGATGCTCCAGAGATAAAGTCCGTAAGGTCCGCAGTGACAGGAGATGGGCAGAGATGGGAGTGTGTTCAAAGCTACACTTGAGATTACTCTTCAGAAGTGGAGTAATTGGGCGTATGTCAGGTGTGAGCAGAAAAGAATAGACAGGGAAGAACAGTGTAGCTCCAGCTTGCAAGATAGCCTGTTGAGAATCTGTTCAGGTGTTGATACCAGCTAATGAAAACCACCAGCGCCTTCTGATGTGCGCTGTGGCTTTTGCCAAATGTTTTTTTGGCAGGAGCAGAACCAAGAGCAGAATTCTGATCTACCCAGTGGCAGAAAAATACTCTGAGTCATCTTGTATCTAGAGATTGGTCTCTGTGCTGCTTTTATCTCTGATTAAAGCACATGAACATGTAATGTTGGTGTGCAGCAGTTTCTGGGTGTGATGATAAAAATACCTCAGCTCAGTGAAGCATGGGACCCTGCAGCATGGAGATACATAAGGAGCAAAGCTAGTGGTTGTGAGCTGTGAAAAACAGCTTTACAGTGGCAGGTAACAAAAAGAAATGCCTTTTAAAAAACCACCCCCACTACCAAAATCTTGCCATGTACCCAATACGGCAGAATATCTCTTACAATGATCCCTATTCCGCTGTTTAACCAAACTCCCTTTCCTTCCTCTACTCCTACATGGAAGTAGAGCAAGCTATATTTAATATGGATGCTGCTCAAAAAAGGGACTCTAGTTTTGTAGGAGTTCTAAGGAACCTACTGGAGTGTGTTCAGAGGACGTGGGAAGGCTGCTGTGACCCAAACAAAGGCAACATGATGCATTTTTGACAGTGGCACATATAGGTACCATCTCTATCTGTTGCTTGACTGCACTGAAATCTGCTAGTTCCAGCAGAGCTCGCAGCCTTTCCTCAAAAAACCCGGTTTATTCCCAAACCATGGAGCCAGGAATCAAAGGCTGATCATCGAAGATGCCAACAGCAAAGCTACCACTGTGCAATGCTGAGTAACAATTTTGTCCCTGAAAACCTTTTTTTCTCTAAATCCTACCATTCCTTGTTAATATGCTGGGAGGGTGGACTTAAGTATCAGTACAGACTATTACATACATACCTGGATGTAAACAGCGTTACTGGAAGTGTAACTTAGAACTGATTAATTGATTGAGAAGTGTCTTCAGTAACTAAGATCTGAGTGGCAATTCCTCCTGTCTTTTCCTCAACCTTCATATAATTTTCTTTAGATACTGAGTGGAAGTCGGAAGTTGTGAACAGCAGAAACTTTGATCGAGAAATTGGACATAAAAACCCTAGGTAATTTACCACCTGGCACAGTCCCTAGATTCTGTCACTGTATCTGATCAAAGATGAAAGCTAAATGACTAATGTTCATGACACAGTGAGGTAGACGGAAACTGTTGGTCTTTTGGTAGTTGGGAGAACTAAGGCAAAAAGAAAGTAGAAAGGAGTTCAAAGCTGCCTGGTGGAACCAGAATTAAGCTATCCATTAGTAGTGGCTGGACATCAGGCTATTATTATATTACCTCTGGACCACGTGGTCTCCATGTAGGAGAACTCAAATGGGTTCCTTTCTGACTTCTATTGTCTGTTAGTGCAGTCTATTGCTAATTCTTTTATTACAAGTACAAGGTTAGAATAGCAGGCATCCCATGAGCTTCTCACAGCACTTGCATGCTGCTTTTTCTAAGCTAACATGCATGAGCTCACAGGCTTGTTTGTGGCAATCGCTCATATATAATTTGTTGTGTATTTCTCATCTGCAGCATTTTAGTTACACTACAATGTGCCATTTTTAATGCTAAGTTTTAGCTTGCTTGTCATTCTCACAACACCTGCTTGGTTCCTTAGGATGCAGGATGCCATCTGGCAAAATGAAGTGAGTGAAAAATACAGCTGGAGAGATAGTAGGACCAGGATTTCAATAAAAGTTTGAACTTTGCCAAATCTCCAGAACTTTGTTTTTGTTCTGTGGGCTCATACAAATACATAAACCTTTATTTGGAAGTACAACTTAAGGAAGGAAAGCAAAGATCTGTGTTTTTGATTATAAGTCCCAACTAGCAGATTTGTTTAGACGAGAGACAATGGAAAAAATGTTGCACAGATGGCATACCTGCTTTGTCTCTCCTCCCCCTGCACACTTTTTTGTTAATGAAAATCCTCCAAGCCTTCTCCAATAAATGCAAATCTCCAGTTGAGAGTAAGGAACATTTTTTATTTAGTGCTATTGCAGTACATCATTTAAAAAGTGCTGCAGCTAAGAACGTTTCATCTGAGATCTAGCAGTTGACTGTGGAAGCTAAATAAATTCAGGCTAGAAATAAAGTGCATTTAAGAGTGTATTTAAACATTGAAAGAATTGATCTAGGAATGTGATTAATTCATTGTCGCTCTTCTTTTACAATTGGACTGAATGATCTTTAAGATCCATTCCAACCTAAATGATTCTATGATTCCTAAGAGCTGAACTCCGTTTTAGCCCATTGTAGGTTCAGTACAGAAATCAACAGTGAAATCCTATGGTGTGAATTGAAGGTCAGGCCAGGGGATGAGACAGTCATCTCTTGTCTTAACTTATTTTAATGGCTACAACACTATGAAGTCTGGACACAGTTTTTTGATGGATCTGTTTTCACATCATGACAGCCATTTAGCTCTTTGAGTTTCTCCTGATGTTTGACATAGTACCTTTCATGTGCTGTATGTTTCATACTGCAAGTCAAGAGTTTGATCATAATTCTGGGACTAATCAGGGACTCTCTCTGTTCCTCAGTGCCATGGCTGTGGAGTCTTTCACTGCTGTTTCTCCTAACGTCCAGGTTGGCAGCTTTGTTCTTTCCAACGGTAAGGGTTGCTTTGTACTGGCTTTGTGTCTGCTGTTGCATCAGCAGTGGACTTTGGTTCTTTCCACAATGGCTGTTTCAAGTGACAATCAGGAAGCCAGCCAGCAAATTGGCTCTTCCAAGTTAGACACTGGAGCAGAGCTTGAGCTTGATTCTTTATTCTGCTTAGGTCTTGTGGATAAAATCAATGACTTCAAGCAGTTGAGCTTGTCACACCTTGAGGATCCACATACTGATGTTACCCGAGGAGGAGATTACTTTTACCACAGCGAGAACCCCAGGCGTCCAGAAGTAAGATGAGAAAGATAAACCAAAGCAGTGATTACTGTTATGCGGAAAAAACGTTGGGGCACATCCCATTTCTATTTAAATATGTAGAAATTGGAGGGCAGACCGTCGCATAGAATGACACCCTTAGTACAGTCCTTCAGCATGAGTGCTTCTCTTGCAGGAAGCTTCTGATCCTGCTTCTTTGTCTTCTGTTTTCTTGAGTCTGCCATGCTTATAAATGGAAAGACATGGGATGGTGCTGGGAGGTGGGTTCTGCCTTGCTATACTGAACCCAGTACAATGAAATAGCTTGTTGTCAGCTTGTGCTGCCTGCCCTTCTTTGCCAAAAGGTGAAATGACAAGGGATGAACGTAGGATCTCATTGATGGTAATGAGATCCTGCAGATAAATCAGAGAGGGTATTGCAAAACAGCATTTGAGCTATCCTGTTTCGACTGTCATCTTGACCTGAAAAATGTACAGCTTGGAAATCATTCTGGGTATCTGCTGGCTTGACATAAATGTTCAGAAAAAGTATTGATACATAAAGGGTGTTCTCGTGCAGAGTTGTCTTTCCTGTGATTCTACTTTGTAAAGAAATCTTTCTTGACTTCAGTATTCTCTTGTTTGTAGGTAGGAGACCTTCGTGTCTCATTCTTCTATGCAGGTCTGAGTGGAGATGACCCCCATTTGGGCTCTGCTGATAAGGTGAGTCTTCAGCTGTTTCTGTATTTTGCAAACTCTGTTCCCAGCTCAGTAACCAGTAAATATTTTGCCCTTTCTTCCAAGGTGACTGTGATTGCTCGCCAGCGAGGCAATCAACTGGTTCCATATCATACCAAGTCTGGAGATGTCCTGCAGATTCTGTACCCTGGGGATCTCTCTGTGGAGGTGAGATACCACGCTAATAGCGAAGGGTTAAAGTTGGAGATGGTAGTGCAGAAGCAGCAGGGGAATAAGCTCTCATTCTCTTTCAGACGTGCTCTAGGGGAGGATGTACTTGATGTAAACGTTGGTTTTTCTCTCTCCTTTTTCTAGGACAACGAGTTATAGCCTGTGTTTGCCTTCCAGGTTTCTGCACGTTCTTTGTGTTGTAGCAAAATGCTGTGCTTTGCCCACTAGCAGTACATAATTTTACTATAGTTATTCCTGATGGTTTTTTTTAATTTTAAAAAGGAACCGTGGATAAAGTAGATATATATTTATTTTTTTTAAATCCCCTTGTGTTGCTGTTGAACATCCTTTGCTTTAAAGGCTGTTTCTGTGCTTTTTCATTTTGCTTTTATTTACTCTTTGGTATTTTCCCACTTAGACATGCAAGCACATGCTTTTGAAAAGGTCATATGTAAAAATAGTAAAAATCAGGCTTTAATTAAACAAACCATAGGAGCTATCCTCTCTTCAGCTTCTAATAAGAGGAGTTTAGGCTTGTTTGAAATATTTATTGCTATTCTGGCTGAGAAAGAACCTTCAGGCAGAGCATTATGCTCCAATAAATCCTGCATGCTCCAGCAATTTGGTGATTCATTTACTCCTTTTAGTGGGTTTGTTTCCATTAATGATTGTTTCATGTCCTGCTGCAAAAATCCCAGATGTCAAGAATTTACAGGAGCTCCCAAAAGTAGTTAAAAAGGCTTTTGTTTTGAGTTGAAAGAGTAGCAGTAGAATCAGCTCTCTGCTGTGAGCTCCGATTCTTCATTAGACAGAATTTTAGTTAATTTCCAATTAACTCACTGCAAATAAATAATTCATAGAGTACTTTTATGCACAAGTAATCAATCAGTCATACACGTATTTTCCGGTTAAGTCCTTTATTATGTCTTAGCCATCTTCACGTGTACATTTTACAGAGCCAGAGGGGCACGCAACGCATTTTGAAAAACTCTTGCTCAGAATTCTTGCAAATAGATGCTTTGCTTTGCCTGATGACATGTGCACATACCTTTTATCTTTTATTCCCTGCATACTGCTTGCTTTCTTTCATATACCTTTCCTTCAGCCATCAGTGGATATTAGAATCATAGAATTGTTTAGGTTGGAAAAGACCTTTAAGATCATCGAGTCCAACCGTTAACCTAGCGCTGCCAAGTCCACCACTAAACCATGTCCCTAAGCACCACATCTACATGTCTTTTAAATACCTCCAGGGATACTTCCCTAGGCAGCCTGTTCCAATGCTTGACAACCCTTTCGGTGAACAAATTTTACTTAAGATCCAATCTAAACCTCCCCTGGCGCAACTTGAGGCCATTTCATCCTGTCCTATTGCTTAGTACTTGGTAGAAGAGGCCGACCCCCACCT